TATTATTAAATGTCCGTTCTTCTATAAGCAATATCGCCCAAATCAGAGCCACTGGTCCCGTAATGACACCCAATGTTATACGCATAACAGAATTCTGGACCCATTATCTAATTTTTGACTTGTCTCTTTTTATTAATGACATCGATTTCTACCGTCAAGTCCACATACGTGGACATGGGGACGGTTGCCTTCTTTATCTTTGATCTCTCCAAAAGCACCCCCCTGTGACCTGAATGCCTCCTGAATCTCGGGAAACTTCTGCTTTTCATCTGTCATCCACCTGCTACAATCAAGAGCTATTTTTGGCGTATCTACAATCCCCCAAGCTTTCCAAGATATTGTCAATTTTTTCTAACTGGTCGCAGCTTTTGCACTCTCCAACCAGAAATAATCAAGTTTTGCATCTAACCCTTACCAATGACATTGCTCTAATTTTCGTTGCTTTCAAAAAGGACCTTTTCGATAGTAACCGCGTATTAATCCATTATTGCGGACCGTTTGCTTCTTCAAAGAAGGCCAGGATAGTTTGGACCTACCTAAATTAAGATTGCGTGGACAACGACTTAATAAATAACAATATCGGATCATTGGAATTGCGTAACTTTCTCCCCTGCAATGATGCAAAATTTCTTTGTGCGTCACGCTGGAAGTTTCCAAAGATATCTTAGAATTGGTGCCTGGTAGAGGTGTCAAGTGTAATCCTTCGGACTCCCTTATTCCCCCCTCGTTTGTAACAGACTAAAAATTTAAGGAGGTAGCTACGTAACTCTTCCATTAGTTCTCTATCCGTTCATCTAGGCATCACATAAATTTTCCAAGTTGCCTCAAATATGTGACAAGTGTGCGATAGACAGAGAGGACCACTTGCCCTCACTGATCCGAACTCTGCCAAACCCGGCGATAAAATCTTCCGTCATTCGTTTTTCTCTTAGTGTGGTCACGAACTATCGTCCTTGTTAACCGATAACAAAATCTTCCTTATCGACGACACTGGCAGGGTAGAATCATTTAGTGCACTCTTTGCGAAACACATTACTACCGAACCCGAACCAATCCTTTTCTTTTGTTCACCTTCAGATAGGACACACAGCAAACTCGGTGTCTCTCCAGACCTAATAAAAAACACATAAGTCGTTTGAAAAACTCACTGCTGGGGAACGGACGATACCCCAAATTCAGTTATCGCATAGGCATCCGATCTTCCCGTGTTGCTTAGCCATTTATCCTAGGCCTATACTTTGTGCGATGTTAATAATTATCAGAGCGTGCACAAAATACCGTCTCTAGCAAAACTTCTTGATCTCTTTCTAGCTAACCAGTTTGTGCGCTCTAGTCAGTACGGATTTTAGTTGAAAGGTCCTGTGAGACTTGTTATGAAGCCTTTCTAAATCGGATCATTTCTCTTCGTAATGAGCCGCAGTCAGTGGTAGTTATCTACTTCGATCTTAGCAAAGCCGTCGACAAGGTGCCAAGTAGACGTCTTTTGGCAAAATTGGAAGTTCTCGGCATCCGGTCCCCTCTATTTGACTTCATCGGGTCCTACCTATCTAACCGTTCTCAGACAGTCATGGTTGATAATAGCTACTCGGCACCTCACTCGATCGATCGCAAATGGCGTACATCAAGACATGGTTATGCGTCCGTTAACCTTCCTTCTTTACGTCAATGATATGTTGACAGAAATCAGAATACCAAAAACGTTTATTTATGCCAACGATCTTAAGAGTGTTTGCTCATATTCTAAGGACACAGCAAATATTTGAGTTGAAAAAATTAACGCCACTCTATTACGCTCAAGCAGATGGAGTTCAACAAGGCAGGCGGGGTTTTCATCCTCCAAGTGTAGTTTCATGTCATTTCGTCCTGCCAAGCTTTCTGGTCTCGGAATGCTTCAGCACTAAGAACCTAGGTTTAAGTTATGCAAATAAGCTTACTTTATCATCTCATGCAGATGTAATCTCTACAAAATCTGGGTAAATATGTAGATCCATATCACATACTTTTTTCCTTCCGGAAAAAGAGCGAAGACCTTGTAAATTTTTTCCCGCCCTCGAATATTTTTGTCCCTTTTTGTCTTGACGAACGCCTGTGACCGTTATAAAATCGAAAATGTTCAGAGTTTTTACTCAAAAACTCATCTTTTAAGCTGGATTCGATGCGTCTAATACTGGGCGATGCCGATTGAGAATATTAATTTTTTATGGGTGCTTCCAGTTTCGCATCAACAGTCCAGTCTTTCACGCACTGACCTCCTCATTCCGGGGAGTCGGTCTTAAGCCACGCGTAATTCCTCCATGGCTATTCCGCCGCCTTTTTGCCCCATATCTAAATACTCTGTCAATTTTTGTTTCCAAATATGCATTACTTCGGAATAATCTTTCACCAGAATTTTGCTCATTGCCTAATTAATCGGTTTTGAAATCGACATTGCGCCAGCAGCTTAAATCGGAAAGCACAAAGTTTTTATTGACCTTTTCATACCAGAACACTCAAACTCTGCACTTTTAAGACGTTTCTTCTGGGATTAAATGATGGATAATACATGCTTTACTTGTTCAAATGAAAGTTACCACTTTGATTCTTACAATCCCTGTTCTTTATTTGCTACTGAACTCACTATTTTTGCCCCACCCTCTGCAGCGATTATTTTCGCGGATTTTTAATGTTATTTTGAACTTTCCGACCCCAAGCAATCTTTTGACGATCACGGTGGACACATCCGTTTTCGCCGGCTGCTGGTGATTTGTCCGGCCAGGAGAGAAGTATCATGGTCGCATCTCCTCGCGATTTAATAACCGCCACATACTTTAATGTCCCCTCCTCGGCTGGGCTCTACTGACCGTGACCGGTCACATTGAATTCCTCTTGGCTCGCCATTTTGATGGTTGTTTCCGTTGTCAACACAGAGTATTAAGACTGCATCTGCAGCGAATAGCCTCATCAAGTTTGCGAATTCTACTTTGAATATGATCGTTTCAAACCGTTACATATACCTGTGTACAGGACGGTCCTCTCCGAACTGTATATTTAGTTTTCCATGGGCGACGAATTTTTTCTGCTGTAAAACTGATCAAAAGGCACTCATTTGTCCTTTTTCAAAAAACGAATCGGTTTTTTCGCTGTTGGCTAACCGTTTTTCATATCGGACAGCTTATTTTACAAGCCCGAATCGAACACTGCACAGTGACTGGTTTGTGTTTAATCGCTTCCCTTGACAATGCCTGTAAACTGGCATTAAATAAATTATTATTATAATCGTTCCAAAATTCTTTATAAAATGTTTTTCAAATTGCCACGACAGTGCCTTTTAGGCTTAAAACAAAATTATTCATTAAATAAGTGGGAAGCCTCCGACATGGATAGAAGAGTTGCCCACAAACTGGCTGCAAACCGTATGGTGCCTCGAACTCACCCCTACCTCCGTTTAAATTGGTGTCCCCAGGGCCCGGTCCTTGAACCTTTACTCATCCTAGTCCAAATTATCGACTGTGTCTAGAACCTGGGCTGCAGCATCACCATGTTTGTTGACGATTGAAAGCTCTGGAAAGCCATCACACCCGACGCATATAACCATATCAGCTGAGTCTCGACTAACTTAACAGCTAGTCTACTTGGCGGCCCCTAATTTTTGACGTTTGAGTGTTTGTTCTAAGAGACTTCCAGAAGGACCAAAAAGGAAGATGATTAGTTCCGAAGCCTTTTTGGCGGACGCACCCCTGCAAATACTGAGGAACAGAGGGATCTCGGTGTTCTAATGGCCTCACTTTAACCATCTTCACATTGCCGATACAAGCGAAGATACGAGTTCCAGGAACTAGTTGATCAGAAGAAGAAGAAGCGATCGCTGGAACAATGGCTTTATTCGCCTGACGGTTCGGATTCTAACTTTAATCCATCATCAGAGGCAATGGCAGAAAAGGGTGACTCGTGCGCAAGTAGTTGCAGTTGGAATAAACTACCCATGAGTGTGAAAACTCTGCAAAATTTTCCTTTATTTAAGAGAACTATTACTCGATTTTTGCATTCAGAAAAGCTCCCACTAATTTTGGGTGCTGAAAACTCTGATCGACTGTACCGTAGCGATGGCGTTTGTGGTCTCTGAACACTATGGCCGGTCTCACCAGCTGTTCCTCAACGCCTCTACTTTGACTATCCCCAACTTCATGAAAGGAATTTGACGTCCGAAAATCTCCGATACCGTGCAACCTCCCCCCTTCTTGACGGTCGATATTCTACCACCGCCGGCAGTTTTTTCTCCTGAGCCCTCCAAACCACAAAAACCACCATCAACTATATTTTTATCCCTTAAGCTCAGGACTTTTTTTAACTGCTGGTCGGATTTGTGTTTAATCGCTTCCCTTGACAATGCCTGTAAACTGGCATTAAATAAAAAAAATTATTTATTTATAGGATGCATTCGCTATGATACCGCATACCTATAGCAATTAACCGCGCTCCCCTTTATCAAGGATTGCTGCCCGCTGGTGCGCTAATTGCTTGATGGTTGGCATGCGAGTTGTTAATTGCCAAAATGTCATCACTCGTGTTGGATGCTGGCGTGATGACTGCTCGACCATCTGGCTCACCGGCTTGCGCGCTCCTCGAGTGGTCAATTACCTTGGCCAGCCTATGCCTCAGCACTGAATATGGAGTGGGGATGTCGTTACACTTGTTGATAGACTGAGGTCCCGTGAACCATGACTCAAGCACTTCGCGGCTCATGTGATTATCCTCTCTCGCGAGAATTTAGGCCTCATGGACCTTGAATGTGTGGCCGGGTCTCGTCGAATAGGCCGTGACCTGAGAGTTGGCGCCATTTCTCCGTACCGCTGCCGCGCGTTCGGTAATTCCCGTTCGGAGCAGTCGTCCAGTTTCTCTAATTCAATTCAATTCAATTATTTTTATTAAAGACCCGTCGGGGTCCCATCAAAGCTGCACCAGATCCGGTAAACGAATCCAGATGTTTCTTGCCGTGGCAGTGGGTCTTTTGGTCTCATCACCTAACGTCTCGTGTTGGCCTCCGTTCTGTGTGCAACTCCAACCCTATGAGGTGTAAGAAGGCGGCTAACGGCCTCGGAGACGTTCTTGATGTACGCGATCGCTCGCCAGAATTTGGGGTCGGCACGGTTTTGTCGCTCGTCTCGTTTGCGCATACACCGGTTGACGAATTTACGCGGGTAACCATTTTCTCTAAAAACCCGTCGAAGATATTGGGATTCAGCAACCTTGTCCTCCGGTTCACTGCAGTGCGTCTCAACACGCCGAAATAGCGTTCTTACGCAACTGCGTTTGTGGCAGATTGGGTGGTTACTGTTGAAGTTCAGAATTTGCGTCGTGTTCGTTGCTTTTCTGAACACTTTGGTCTTTAGGCCACCACAATTTTTGCGACAGACGAGGACATCAAGGAATGCCAGCTGGTTATTCTCTTCCTCCTCCATCGTGAATTGTATGTCCGGGAAGACGCTGTTGAGACGTTCTTTGAACGTTAGCACCTGATCCCGTTCGATGACGACGAAGGTATCGTCCACATACCGAGCCCAGAATTTCGGTCTGTGGTGTTGGAAGACCAGCGACTCCAACCGCTGTAGCACCGCCTCGGCGATGAATCCCGAAATCGGCGAGCCCATTGGTGTTCCCTTCACTTGCTCGTAGATTGTTCCGTCAAACGTGAAGTACGTCCTGAGACAGAACTTTAGGAGCTGAAGGACTTGGGCATGTCCGAGACGATTCTCCGTTTCATCGTATTTGTTTCGTAGGAGTAGCTGGACGGTCTCGATTACCAGATCCTGGGGGATAGAAGTAAAGAGGGACGTGACATCAAAAGATACCATGACCTCATTTGACAAGAGATTTATTTTTTTAAGCTTCTCCAGGAATTGTGTTGACGAACAGACGGTGATGTCCGAATCAGCGGTCAGAACTTTGAGGCGCTGAAACAGCCATTTTGCCATTCCGTACGTTGGAGTGCCCTTGCGAGAAACAATGGACCGGAGAGGAACGCCCTCCTTGTGCACCTTGGGGAGACCATAGAATCGGGCCACGGCCGTTTCTTGGGCTCTCGCCATGCGTCGGTCGGTCGCTGTTATTGCACCCGAGTTCTCCAGTGCCAACAGTGTTGCATTAATTTCGCGTGTCAGCGTCTTTACGGGGTTGATTTCACATGGGACATAAAACTGGCGATCCTCCAGTAGGTTTTTGGCCTTCTGAAGGTAGTCTGTTCTGTCCAGTACGACGGTGGAACGCCCCTTGTCCGTGGGCACAATGACGATGTCCTTGTCGGCCTTGAGTTCGCTTAGCGCATCGCGTTCGATCTTTGGGAGTATTTCGTGCGGCTTGTGATTTATAAGGAGGGATGACACTTGGTGTCGGAGAAGGTTCTTCGTCTCCTCCGCCGCTTCCGTCCGATTAATGACTGACTCCACTGCTGCAATCATGTTGACAGGTTTGTCGTCAGCTGTGTTAAATGAGGATTCGTGAGGCTTCAAATGAGAATCCGAAACGTCAGGCGAATAAAGCCGTTATTCCAGCGATAGCTTCTTATTCTGAGCACCTTCACACAGTTTAAAGGCAGCTAGACGCACGACACGGGTTCTGTTCGCTCCAGGACCTGTGCTTATGCAAATTAATTTGAAACGGTTCAGCAAAATCTAAGGGGCATTCGTTCGGCTCCGTTTGAACTATGCCGTACAGGCCTGGCGTCCGTGGTTCAACAATGCTTACCAAGTGGAACGAGTGTAAGCGAGGACCACGCAAATGGTGAAGAACCTTGGCTATCTGGCTACGGGACCAGACTGAATGGATGTCATTTGTCTCCCTTAAATGTCAGGCGAACGCGCGGTGATCTCATTCAGATCCCCCAAACTATTAGACCGGTGAGTGTGCCCTACAGTACGACAATGTCCCCGAATTGGTAGAAACGGACCGTCTGGTTGGTCATCACTTTAAATCAAATAGGGTGTTGGCCATTCGGGCGTCCGATGAAATGCCTTCTGACGATGATTCGCTGGAGTCTGGGACTACAATGTGGGGATTTCAATCCAACATCAGAGACTAGGTGCTATCCAAGAAGGCCTGGTTAGTGTCAGCGTCCAGATCGATTTGTTTTTTTTTTCAGTTAGCATATTTTGGCAAACATTTCAAACATAATCATACGAATATTGATTTTCCGGCACGTCTGAAACGTTAATTGTTTGTGCGAATTTACTCAAGTCTGGCGAGCACCTGGGGAACCAGCGTCGCAAATTTACCCAGCGGTACTTACCACTCAAATATCGATCACACATTATATGAGTTAGATCATCTACTATATATGACTAGGGCTAGGAAAACCCTCAGACTGGTATCGACAATCAGAACTTTTAATAATAAGTTCCACCGCATATTAACTTCTCAACTTATTTAAACATACTATATGGGCGTCAAATTACAATCAGTGTAGTCAATATCTCAGATAACATTTAAGAGCAGTGTGTGCAGGCAAAAATGAGGCCCTTGAAGGCGGGCTTAACTTGGAAGAGAGATCAACTGCCACTGTCAGCTCTGTGCCCTGCCCCAATGTAAACATAATTTTTCTATGTACTTATAAGGCGCTTCAATTATCAGACTGAGTTAAATAAATATCCTGTCGGTACCAACCCCACCCCGCCTCTGTAGAGGTCTGTCACTGAAAAACCGACCTCAGAATTACCGAGCCTGTTGGTTACAAACTTATCTAGCAAAATCAAAGTCATTTGGTTATGGTGACAACAAATCTATGAAATCGTATTTGTATTATGCACTTTATGCCTGCTTAGACGTCGACACGTTTAACGTCCTCGTTGTGGACGCTTTCGGTGTGCTATTATTTTGCACTGAACTTCCTTTATGTCGAGTTCCCCTTGTTTTTGTCGACAATGGTATTCGTGAAAAGGTATGCTTATTCGTTCACGCAAGATTGGCTACTTTCTCTGTTTCTGACAAAAAGTATGTGGGACCTGAATTATGCCTAGGTGGAACCCTTTGAGTAACTCTGACAAGTCCAAATCGATAACTACTGAAACACCATACTCTTCTATATAAACATCTGCACGAAATTTTGTTGTTTTCTTCCCTGCGCAGGTCAGCTGATTATGCATCCGGTAATCAAATTTCATCCATCTGGGACGCAGTTCTTTTAATGAGCCGACCAACAGGGTGAAATTTCAGCGAGTTTTAGTTGCCCGCGAAAACACATGACTGACACTAGAGGGTGTGGAGAGCGTTGGCGATGGAGGGCTCGCGATTTTATGCATGGGGCAGTAAAACCTTGAAACTTCTTGGTCGGACACAACGATTCAAATCCCCCTTATGCAGATCTTATTCGGTTCAGCCTGGTTCTGGCAGCTACGGCATTTTGTGTGACGTAGACGGCGTTCTCACAAGAGGTCGGTCGGCAATCGGTTCTGCGTTTCGCGCTTTTGAGCTTCTGCGTGACAAAAATGGACGTTGGAGTGCGCCTGTGCTGTTTTTAACCAACGCAAGCAACGTACTGAAGCAGACAAAGGCTGAGGAACTATCCAATGTACTGAAATGCAAGGTAAAGGTTCCGTCTGAACTATTTTTTTAAGATTTCGCCTCAAGATATCGTCATGTCGCACACGCCATTACGGCAATATTCGGAAATGTTTGACAAACATGTTGCTGTTTGCGGACTTGGTCCTATAAAGGAGATTGCTCATAATCTTGGCTTCAAAAATGTTTCTACAATCGAGGAGATTTCGGCCGCATTCCCGTTTCTGGATGCTTGCAAACCTAAGGAAGAGATGTTCGCGGTAATTTTTCTTGTTAATTATTGGCATTTTCTTCGGAATAAACTTTTAATTAGATGTATAAAGCTATATATGCATGCTAAGCAAAGTTTAGAACATACAAAACATTACAATGTTCACAACTTGTCGTATATTACTCGAAAATGGTCACCAGTGCGTCGTCCTTAGCTTGTAGGCGATGCTCTGAGGGCCTTTTGAAGGTGTATGCGACTACTCACGGCGAAAGATCTTTGTAAAAAAGGGCGAGAGTTGCTCTGAACACATTACTATTTAGTGTAGTAATAACAATTTTGAGGGAAAATAGAAAATAAGGGAATTGCATGCCTTTCGATTTATCTATTAAACTGCAAGTTGGATATTCAAGGATGTGCCGCGACGAAAAGGCTAAACGAGTAATTGAAAATATGCATAAAAAGTTAAAATATTAGTTTTTTCGTCCTTCAGTTTGTTGTACTAACGTTGATAGAAACAGATAAATTAAGATTAAATGTCCTCGTTTAAATAATGAAGACTGACGTTCGAATTTCATGAAATACTTCCAAGTATATATCCTTTTACTCACTTTTAAGTTGTTTCAGTACATACTAGGGTATTTTCACCACATTTTAACTGCGACTTAACCTGGATAGCATAAATCATGGACTGTACACGAAGAGGGTGCCCATCGAATAGAGAATAAAGTCATACTAAGTAAGTTTAACGACGAGCCTGCCGTCTTCTGCGTACAACGTATTTTTCTTTTCGGAAATTCCCTGTTTTCGTCTTAATGCCCATGGGAGACGTTGAGCCTAATGACACCCTTGTAATTTCAGTACATGATTTCCTGCTCTCAGTGCCCTCTATCGACCACAATAAGTATCTTATACACTTCGTTGCTATTATAATTATAAGGTTAAGGCGACCCTCGAAAACCTCTGCTGTATGTAGCATTTTCTGAAATCATTTCCTTTGACAGTATTTTAGGGGATAAGCAATTGATTTTCAAAATAATGTGCATGATGGCTGTGATTTAAATCAAATAAACGGCTTTTTCGCAACCACATGCGCAAGGTGCTTTGTTGTGTTATTTACAAAATCAGTGCTCGTCCACCGAACGAGTAAATTCGTTGTCTGGTGTAATTAGTACCTTTTCTGCCAACTTTGTTTTGTTTCAGTCCTTGTTTTATGATTATAAATACGTTGCAGGATGACCCCAGTAGCAGGATATTTTTTCCAACATTTCGCGCTGTAACAGTTGCGTTCCCGGCTTACGTAGGAACAGGAGATATGTTGCATCAAGTCGCCTTTGAGCATACCTAAAGTTAGACTGACAAAAAAAGGAATAAAAGCCATAAATATAGCAAACCCAGTTTTCTGTGTTTTAGGGTAAAAAACTACACAGATGTGCAATTCTGAGACTTTAACTTCGGAAGGGCCTTTCTTTTTCACAAAGAGGCGTGACTATTTGAATATTACGCCATTTGAGTTATACTAACCGCAAAGCCGTTCTTTAAGAATGCGAAGTCCATCTGAATAAACTGTTCTAACTGATGTGGGCGTAAATAAGCGGGCGTTGTCTGCGGCGGTTCTTACCATAAACACTTCCCAGAATATAAATAAATTCTGATGATCACCTTAAAATGTCTTGTTTGTCGTCCATTCAGTTATACAAAAGCGGACTCTACGGATGCCACATTATTATACTATGCGCAATTCACGATATTTGAGGTATTTCGTACCAATAACTGGATTTTGATCACGGAGTTCCATCAGTTTCTCAACTATCCAGTACGTCTTTCGGAAAACACTGGTGGACTTCATAGTTAAGCATTAAATCACCACATTGTTTGCTAAAATTATTTGGCTAAATATTTCACATTGATATGAGTTGCTTCCTCAGAACGGGCTTCTAAATCACGTAATTTGACCTTGCTCCCGAGTGTTGGCCGTCTGTATTTGTCGTTGCACAGTCATGCGTTATTCTGTTTTTTTGTTGTGTTCATTGTCTGTGCAGTAAGAAAGATCTACGGTGCTTTTCTCAGACGGAATGGTCTTTTATCCGACTAGTTTTTCGTTGCAGTTTGTGAAGACAAAGGCATTGTAAATATGACCATTTTATCCCTAGATGCATGTATTTTAGTATTTTCTGTTTAGACCTCACGATGGCGTAAAACAGTGCGCAATCTTACTGCATCAGTTTTTACACTCACCTTTGTTTTTCGCCGGCCACATATAAATCTGTGTGATTTACTTATTTTAGGGCCCAATTTCTCACCCAAACATAGACAAAATTGAAGGTAATTGACCCGTCCTATATTTGTATGTCTTCACGCTATGTCTTCACACCAGTATAAACTCTTTCGGTATTTTTAAGAATTTTCCATTACGTTTTCGCAGGGGCTTGATTCTTACGTACAACCCCTAAAGATAATCTGTCTTCAGCATGCACTCTAGAATTAGTACGTTGAGATTTAACAAACATTAATGCCCCACGCGGTTTTCGGAATTTTGGCTTAAGCGCAAAACACTGAAGCGAAATCAAAAGGTTTTACGGCTTCTTGGCCTAACCTGTTTTCTTCCTTTTAATAGCCACTCCATATCTATTTTTCCTTGTGAAAACCCCGTGTGTAGCCAGAGACGGTGATTCTCCCACACAACATACATGTTCTAGTTCGTCATAGTGGACGCTGCCATGATGAATTTAGCGCCGAAATATTTATCAACACAGTGCCCAGCAGATACAGCGAAACAGTTTGATTACGAAAGGACTTCACTCAAAGTTAGCATTTCCAACTAGTAACTAGAACGATTTTTATCTCCACAAAAATATGAAACCCGCCAAATTCTCAGCAAACGTTAGATGAGCTTCCGTTGGTCCGGCCGCGTACGTCTACTTTTGACCTTGTATGGGTGGCCGCACAGGTGGCTTGCATCTGCGAGTTCAAATAAGTCCTCCGGTTTTAACGGGCAACAATGACCGCGAATAATATGGAATGTCTTAGATAGTTTGACTCTCTTTAAGAGGAAGGGGACGGGCCAAGTCTATTTGGTCAGTCTGGGTAGGACGGATTTTTAATGAATTTTAAGAGTCCGCGGCGAAAATCTTAGTGCGCATGGTCAAGACGTTAGTTTGTTACCATGCTTCGGAGTAAAAACCCACAGTCTCAAGGGCAAAGTTCAATTCAGGCTTACGTTGTGGCACACTGACGACCTCTGCTAGTTGTCAGACGGCGCCCGTCCAGTTTGTCTTGAGGTTCTTTGAGCACACCTGGATTCGATTAATGGCCACAGAAATGCAAGCTGATGATCCTGCACTCATTTAGTGGACAGAAAGTAATTTTCTAAACACGGATGGCCTTTCGGAAGACAAATTTCCTGACTTACATTCGGTAAAGTTATCATGAAGGATGAAGGTTTAGGAGATTTCTAAGACATTCCTGTCATATGCATCTGTCTCCTCAATTTATTAAATCAAAGCGGTCTTTTGAACAGTATTCCTTCAGAAATGCACCTAACGTGGACAACCTTTTTACCAGGAAAGAACATCGCGTTGCAACTGCCTGAGAGGGTTCTAGATTGAGTCCTGAGGGGCACTGGAACGACCATGTTCCGTAACCTTATTGGCAAACACACATGACCTATGGGAATAATGCAGGGGGGTATTAACTAAGTTATCTCTAACAAGTGCCTTACAGTGTTTTATTTTTATATAATTTATTAGTCATTAATCAGGCAAGTACTCCGGAGCATCATTTTTACTTTCCATGTTGCGTGACATCGTCAATTATGAGTTTCCTTTTTGGAAGTCGGGTCGGGCCAGTTTTTTGTCCACACGTGAATTTCTACCACAGTCGACTCTTTTTTAGCAACCGAGACGAAATAACGTAGCCGAAAAAACTGCCTTCATATATTGACTGTTAGAACCGAACCTTAGGCCGGTCATTTCGTCACCATAAGTTCGATCAAGACGTTGGAATCATGGCATTCAAGTTTACCGCACATGGTCGGAGGAAGAGGGGAGGCAAAATATTCCGTCAGTCCACAGTCTTTGAAACCACGACTTCCTGTGTGAAATGATGATTGAATGCCATCGGGATGGGCCGTTTCTCCTAATAATCACCCGAAAGAAGAGATTTTAGAAGGCGCGACGGACAGATTCTCCGGTTGGGCAGTCTGTGTCCTCACTTGAACTCGCCAATATGCTTAGGGCCGGACCTACGAATGTAACTGTTTGCAGGCGCGGTTTATAAGAATGTAGTTATCCCTAAATGTCGCCTAAAGAGTGGTCGATCATCATTGGGCCCAATTTATCTGCACTAGTTATTTTGCTAAATTTCATGGCAGTATGTGTGTGCAGGGAGTGCAATCGGAATCCAGGCGGACATCGTCACTTTGACAGACAGACAGTCCGAACAAGCGTCTACCTACCGAGCACAGCAGTCACACACACACACTCGCAACCGCATCGACTTGATGTTAAACCACACGAGGGTAGCTGACGTGCATCTTCAGTGCTGACGAATTCATGCGAACTCTGCTTCAGTTGATAAGGGAGGAGAGCCACCAGCAGGTGTGATATAGAGGCCTAGTCGCGTCACCAGTCGTCTTGATCAGCGAGATCTTGAAAGATGGTGCGTGCGCAAGTCTGCCGCGGCATGATTAACTCCACACGAAGGTCACCACTACCTCCCACTCGTGGGGCTCCTCAGTGGACAAAATATCCCTTCGTTAAGCGAGACCACGACGAACACGCACGGGCTGTGCTCGTATGCTGTCGTCACCACTTGAGATCTTCACCCCCCACGCGGCGGCGGCGGTCACCACCACCTCTCACTCGTGGGGCTCATCAGTGGACAAAATATCCCTTCGTTAGGGGAGGCCATAACGAGCACGTACGCTGCCGAAAAGTCGTCCTCACTTGAGACCTTCACTCCCCTCGGCGGCGACCGCTTGACCGTCATCGATTAACCCGAAGATAGACTGTCCGTCAGGGGGGTGTCTTAATTAGCATTGTCATGTGACTCGTGACCTCTGACCGGGTACCATACCCCAATTATCCACATGTTATCGCCGCCTTTGACGGTCTGCATATCGTCGACAGGCGCTAAAACGTCCCCAGTTTTTTAAATGAACGACAAAAATTCGACTGGATTTCCTGTTCAGCTAGACTAGGTGGGGCAAGCTGGGCGTACTAACAGCTGGCAAAATCAACAGTGTAAACATGCGATGAGGACATCTACATGATCACTTAAGTTGTCAGCGGGTTAGATCGCAGTTGGTATCCAGGCCCGTATTTCAGGTGGCTGCGGGGTTTGTTTACTGGGGCTATTTTGTGGGGTTCCATAATCAGATCTGACCCATTTGGCTTCCGTTTTACGTTTGCGGTTAGGATTAGGGTACTGGTTAATGGTTTCCGATTTTCGGGTTAGGGTTATGCCTTTAGGCTTAGGTTTTCGGGTTACGGTTAGGGTTTGAGCGTACGATTAAGGTTCAGTATTACATTTAGGTTTCTCAGTTACGGCTATGTCTAAGTGCTACGGTTACATTTACGATTTCGGTTAGGGTTGCCGTTAAGGTTAACGGTTAACGTTTAAGGTTGAGCCTAGGGTTAAGGTTAAGATTAGGGTTAGAGTCGCCGTCCGCTTCCCCATTCCTGGCTACCAACTGTGACCTAGCCTGTCAGCGTTATCATTCAATACGACATTTCCAGCGTCAAGCTGTACGGCGCCGCGACATTAACAGTGATCAAAGGCCTTGCTGTGTTATTTACAGCCTCGGTGACAAAGCTGACACTGCGGAACCCGTAGACTCAATATGAAATTCAACGCTGGGAGCACCGAAGCAGCGGTTGCCCCCCCCCCCCTCCCCCTTGGAGGGAACGGATCGCGTCTGCTGAACGACAGAATACACAGACTGTTTAACGGTTCTGCTGACATAGGCACCCTCACGTCTGAAGGACGTCAGGGTGAAGGTGTAAAAGACCTTCGAACGTAATCGGTCTTTGTAGTAGCGGGAATACCGCGACGCCTCCATTGGCACTTTCTTAGGCATGCAGAAACCCTCCTTTGTTTAGACGACGAATCACCTTTACTCTGTCCCTGGGGCAGAAACGTGGCTCCGAGATCCTTGAGACTGCTCAGTTCGTCGAGCTTGCAACCATTAGTCCCGAAGGGCGCATTCTCCTCGCCAGAAATGCAGCTCGAAAACGCTCTAATCTTCGCAGCGTTTATGTTTAAACCGACTGGTCTAGCCACCTTGTTTATCTAAGATGCCAAGTTCAGTAGGCTATAATTAGTCGGAACGATATAGTCGGCTTAATAGTGGTCAGCTAGCCTGCGTCCAGGTACAACTTTGACATCGTCAAAACCACCTACAGTCCTTCCGAGAATCCAGTCTGGGAGGTAGTTAAACAGGGCGGATGCAGGTCTAGTAGCAAAGGATTGTCAGGACAATGCATTCGTGTAGCGCTGGTGCGGCAGTAGGTCCCATGAGTCGTCACTGGGTCTCAAGATGACCGAAATAGGGTGTGGCAGCGAAGGCAATAAAGCAGCTGACTGTCGGTTGATGGTATCCATGGCACAGTTCAATAAAAAACAGTTGTAAACATGACAGTCGATTTGCGAACTCGATGCCTAGGCACTGAAGGGGATGGATACCTGCCGTCTGGGAGCTGACTCCCATTTTATCTAGCCAAGCGAACCAGACTATTCATGCAGACGATCACGTCCCAAGTCGCCAAAACTGCAAAGGTAACCCAAAGCAACTCAAAAGGAGTGTTTAGCAGGGTTGCAAGAGAAAACAGTTAAGCAAGTCTGGGGTTTTTACTGCGGTGCACTTTTGCATTATTTATTCATAGGGATTTCTATGAGTGAGGACTGTGGGCTGATCCCTGGGGAGTGCCAGCCCCTGACTTGGAACCGAACCAACGAAGAAAGCGGACATCGCTGAATGTTGAAGAGACCCAGAACGGACCCTAAAAATCAAGTATTTTGGCGATCTGCAGGCCCAATTATTATTTCTGTTCCGCTAGACGATTTCATGCATTTTTCGACCAGGAATGCTGGTTTGCCGTATCTTCTTCACGTTTCCATATCGCAAGACATTTTTAAAAAATATAACAGTATGTAACATAGCTTAGGAATAAAGAAGAAGACACGATCGCCGGGACAAGAGCTTTATTAGCCTGACGTTTCGGATTCCTGCTCGAATCCATCATCAGAGACAAAAGCAGATAAGGGTAGTTCATGCATATGCGGCTGCAGTATTTATAGGATGCAGTAGCCATGCTACCGCATACCTATGAATGTTCACGGCTCCTCCCTTCACCAGGGATCGTTGCACGTGGCACCAACATCCAACGCACGTGATGAAATTGCAGCAATTAACGACGCGAATGTCGGCCATCACGTCACGTGCAACGATCCCCAAAGAAAGGGCGGGGGAGCCGTGAATATTCATAGGTATGCGGTAGCATGGCTACTGCATCCTATAAATACTGAGCCGCATATTCATGAACTACCCTTATCTGCTTTTGTCTCTGATGATGGATTCGAGCAGGAATCCGAAACGTCAGGCTAATAAAGCTCTTGTCCCGACGATCGTGTCTTCTTCTTCTTCTTCTTCTTCTTCAAGACTGCTTCCTGGGACTCGTCTCTTCGCTTCTATTGGCAATAGCTTAGAAATGTCTTTGCCTCACCTCATCAGGATCTTGTATTCTTCATGAGCCCCATGCATCCCACTTCATCATTCTTGTGTCGCCGTTAGTAAATATCACGCATTTATCAGCTGCCCGCTATTGAGTGGAGGGCTTGTTAACACTAAATAGGGTTGACCTCCTGTGAGGTTGAGTGAATGTGACTCCTATCAATTAGGGCTTTTCTGTCTCCAAGGGGAACGACGTGACCCATTGTCAGAGCTGAGCTTGGGTTTCCCACATGTTTTTCCTTCACGCAAAAGCCACGTCTCGCTTTGCCTGTCATGCCGTTCTCAGGAATACTCGTCACCGAGGTCTCGCCGTAATTAGTCATTTTTAATGTCATTAGCCCCGTCGTACCAGTATTTGCTTCCCACGAATATCGAACTGCTACCGACCCTATCCAATGTTTTGTTTTCTTTTTACAGCTATTATTTTATTCGGTGAGCCGCAGCGATGGGAACACAGTCTGCAAATTCTCCTGGACCTCCTAATCCAGTCTGGGAGGTAGTTAAACAGGGCGGATGCAGGTCTACTAGCAGAGGGCTGGGAAGGATTGTCAGGACAATGCATTCGTGTAGCGCTGGTGCGGCAGTAGGTCCCATGAGTCGTCACTGGGTCTCAAGATGACCGAAATAGGGTGTGGCAGCGAAGGCAATAAAGCAGCTGACTGTCGGTTGATGGTATCCATGGCACAGTTCAATAAAAAACAGTTGTAAACATGACAGTCGATTTGCGAACTCGATGCCTAGGCACTGAAGGGGATGGATACCTGCCGTCTGGGAGCTGACTCCCCTTTTATCTAGCCAAGCGAACCAGACTATTCATGCAGACGATCACGTCCCAAGTCGCCAGAACTGCAAAGGTAACCCAAAGCAACTCAAAAGGAGTGTTTAGCACGGTTGCAAGAGAAAACAGTTAAGCGAGTCAGGGGTTTCTGCTGCGGTGCACTTTTGCATTATTTATTCATAGGGATTTCTATGAGTGAGGACTGTGGGCTGATCCCTGGGGAGTGCCAGCCCCTGGCTTGGAACCCAGCCAATGAAGAAAGCGGACATCGCTGAATGTTGAAGAGACCCAGAACGGACCCTAAAAATCAAGTATTTTGGCTATCTGCAGGCCCAATTATTATTTCTGTTCCGCTAGACGATTTCATGCATTTTTCGACCAGGAATGCTGGTTTGACGTATCTTCTTAACGGTTCCATATCGCAGGACATTTTAAAGAAATATAATCTCAGTATGTAACATAGCTAAACTCAAAAGACAATTTAGAAATACCTCTGCCTCATCTCATCACGATCTTGTATTCTTCATGAGCCCCATGCATTCCACTTCATCATCCTTGTGTCGCCGTGGGTAAATATCACGCATTTATCAGCTGCTCCCTATTGGAGGGAGGGCTTGTTAACACAAAATATGGCAGATCTCCTGTGACGTTGAGCTAATGTGACTTCTATCAATTAGGGCTTTTCTGTCTCCACGGGGAACGGCGTGACCCATTGTTAGACCTGAGTTTGGGTTTTCCACAACGCCCACACATGTTTTTCCTTCACACGAAAGCCACGTCTCACCTTGCCTGTCATGCCGTTCTCAGGAATACCCGTCACCGAGGTCTCGCCGTACTTAGCCATTTGAATGTCATTAGTCTTGTCGTACCGGTATTTGCTTTCCACGAATATCGAACTGCTACCGACCCTATCCAATGTTTTGTTTTCTTTTTACAGCTATTATTTTATTCGGTGAGCCGCAGCGATGGGAACACAGTCTGCAAATTCTCCTGGACCTCCTCATCCACGATGGAGATCCCAGCAAAAACCTTGAGGACTGTGGCAGTAAGTGACTCTTGTCTGGCCTCCTGTTGCACGCTGTCGCTTGGCCACATCTTGCGAAATTCACCCTAGTATGGTTGTTGCAGTCTTGTCCCTTTGACTGCCGCCGCAGGTATTGCACCTGATTAATTTGTAAGATGTGGTTATGTAGTCGCGCCCGATGGACAAAATACTGTTGGGGTTGGGGTTAGGGGCTAGGGTTGGAGGTTAGGGTTAGGATCAGGGGTTACGACAACTACTTCTTAACCACTCAAAGTACAACCGCGCATTCCCACTAACTTTTCTTTTGCATGCAACTACTTGACCTCGTCGTCTGTGCGTTCCCCGGACCCACCTGTAAAAAACCCCTATTATCACCTGTCCTGTATTACAGGTGGCTGGGCTCTGCTTACTTCAGGTGGAGCTACATAATTGACCAATTGATTTTCTCTGTTTAGGGTTAGATCAAAGTCCACCTTAATGCATCCGTCCACTTTGTCCTTTTGCATGACTAGGTCCCGAAGAATGTCCAAAGAAAGTCCCCGCTTCTGTCAGTCCTTCCAGTATGTTCATCGGTCGGACTTACTCGGTGTAATTCGACTTCGTTGTTGTTATGGCCTCCATTTCTTGTTAAATTCCGTGAGAAGGGGTGAAATAGACATTTAAGGACTCGCTGACGAAATGCGGGTCGTCAAACTCGACTGTTAGATGTGAACAGGTGGGGGGAACCGTATCTGGGCTGACGTCACGAGTCACATGGTGGCGCTCATTAACGCGCCTGCCTGACGGGAAGCTTTTCTCCGTTTTAATCGAAGGCAATCAACCGGCTTCCCTGGGAATTAAGATCTCAAGCATAGACTCCTTTACAGCGGCGTACTTCCACATGCCATGCGTGCGTGTCATAGCTTCCGAATAAATGCCTTCATCCGAGGGATATTTTATCCATCGTTCCCCCTGAGGACCATCACGGATAGAAGGTCGCAGCAACCCTCGCTTGGAGTAACTCCTAGTGCGGAAGACTTGCGCACGCATCACTTCTCCAGATCTCGTCAATCAAGACGGCTGACGACTCAACTGGACATCTTGAAGTAGGATTGATTTTAGTAGTTTGGGAGGGAGGGAACAGAGTAGCTAGCCTGTAGAATGCGACTTTGAGTGATAATGGAATAAACTATCACCGTGAAGGTCGCTGTCCTCGCACACCCATAGTGCTCTGGCATTGCTCTGGATTAGCCTGGGCGCTCTCGGCTACCTGACACAAAGCTCTGTATTTGCTTTTCACACACCTACTTGTGGCCTCCTCCCTTATAAACTGAACCGAAATAGGGTGTGGCAGTGAAGTCAGTGAAGGAGCTGAGTGTCGGTTGATGGTATCCATGGCGCAGTTCAAGAGGGGCATTTGTAAACTTGACACTCGATGTGTGAACCGGATGCCGCTTGACGCTGAAAATGCCATATTGAATGAGAACGCTGATCATGTAGATCTCCTCATCGGATGTTTACACTGTTGATTTCGTCAGCTGTTAGTACGCCCAACTTGCCCCGCCTAGTTTGGCTGAACAGGGAATCCAGTCGTATTCTTGTAATTCATTTAAAAAAATTGGAGAACTTTTAGCGCCTGTTGACGATATGCAGGCAGCCAAAGGCGACGATAACGTGTGAATAATTGGGGGGCGGTACGCGGCCAGAGGTCACGAGTCACATGATGATGATGATGATGCTAATTAGGACACCCGCCTGACAGACAGCCTTTCTTCGGGTTAATCGATGACGGTCAAGCTGCCGCCGTCGTCGCCGCCGCCGCGTGGGGGGTGAAAATCTCAAGTGGTGACGACAGCGTACGAGCACGGCCCGTGCGTGTTCGTCGTGGTCTCGCTTAACGAAGGGATAATTTGTCCATTGTTTCCACTGCGGAGCCCCACGAGTGGGAGGTAGTGGTGACCTTCATGTTGAGTTAATCATGCCACGGAAGACTTGCGCACGCACCGTCTTTCGAGATCTCTTCGATCAAGACGACCGATGACGCGACTAGGCCTCTACCACACACCTGCTGGTGGCCCTCCTCCCTTATCAACCGAAGCAGAATTCGCACGAATTCGTCAGCACTGTAGATGCACGTCAGCTACCCTCGTCTGGTTCCACATCAAGTCGATGCGGTTGCGAATGTGTGTGGGTGACTGCTGTGCTCGGTAGGTAGACGTTTGTTCTTACTGTCTGTCTGTCAAAGTGACGATGTCCGCCTGGATTCCGATTGCACTCCCTGCACACTCATGCTGCTAAGAGATTTTGCAATGTAACTTCTGCATATACATTGCTCCGATTGCATAAAACAGGCAACAGTTCGGCTCTTACGAACGACAACGTGCACTGCGTGCCCATACAGTGAACGCAGCACTAATGAGTTGCACGTGAATTGGTTTACCGTGATACAGACTTGCACAGCACCTACCACACCTCTTCCTTCCCTACCCGCCGTACTCTCATGCCATAACGCTGTTAAAATGACCGGGCTGGATGAGGCTCCCACTAGATGATTTACTTCCGCCTAAGAAACCGTTCAGAATGAACGAATTTTTCACGAACGGTCCCGGCTTCACAGTTTTGGCTCAAAACTAAAGCTACAGATTGGCCACTTCTGCGGCTCAAGTGAGGGTGCGTGCTGGCTGACTGGAGAATCTACCCGTCGTGATTTTCGAAATCTCATCTTTCCAGCGATTCCTCTGAGGAAGAACGGTTCGTTCTAATGAGATTTGGTCGTCATTACGTGTCAGAAGGCCTGGCTTAGGAGGCCGCCAAGTGATGGGTTATTTTGCCATGATGCCATGGCAATCCACGCTGACGTAGGATCTGAGATGCTTGTGTGTGGTTCGTGTGAGCGGGAGCCAAGTTCTGTTTAGCATGTATAAACTGACTTTATGACTATGGACTTTACCACTGGAATATGATTGGTTGAGGCGGAGGAGAAGGGAAGGTAGGGGGGATAAAGGCTGCAAAGCTTGCATTCATTCCAACTTCCATCGCTCTCTACCTCCTCTCCCTCTTCCCCCCCCCTCCCCGACAACAGTGTTTCTTATCATTTGCGGTTGGGGAACTGTTGTGGGCATAAAATTTCTTTGGGGCGACGCTATTTAATCCCCCCCCCCAGCCCGTTGCTGTTCAATAAACGAAACGACCCTTGGGAAGCCTCTCCTAGAATATTTCGCTGCGGGAATTTGCCGCGTCAAGCGTTGAGGGTTGGTTGGGGGTGGAGGGCAGTACGCCACATCGTTTGATCTACAATTCAGGGCATTCCCTTCCCAGTATCCAATGTCCTACGATTACTCTTCCTACTTATAGATCTTTGAGCTTAGATAATAAGCTCTTCCTTATGGTTGCTATAATTATGACTGTCGACGTGCATGTGCGATATGTGCAGCAACTCTCTAGTGACCATCACTTGTCTTATCTGATTCTGGAGCTGGTTGGTGCGAAGGGCTGGCCTGGAACATAATCAACCCTTCTACCACCTGAAATCCATGCCTATATGGTTGTTACTCTCCTCCTTTGGGTGGAGGTGTGCATTTGGTTGCCGACATCGGAAGTGATATTTTCGACAGTATGTTCACCACATACACTTCTTTGATCTACCCTGGTTCAGCCAACGTTCAGCTATCAACTCCGAAGCTAAAACTTGAAAGTATGCCAACCTGGCTTATTTACTTGGCGGCAGCGTTCTCTATAAAGCCGCAGAAAAAGAAGCCGTGGTAATTTCATGCGATTTACGACAGTTTGACCGTCGATTCCGACGATAGCCACCTTGTTCTACATACCAATGTGCAACAGGCACGGTGACTTGCGTGTGAATTGCTTTATAGTGACAGTAGACTGGCGTAGCACCTGCCGCACTCTCTCTTCCCCACCGCCCACCTGGACCCAGTGTCAAGACAGAGTCAAGAAGTCCGGAGGCGGGGGAGGGCGTGCGGTAACGTAACGTAGATTTGCTTCTATTGATACGGCACAAAAGTTAACCATGGGGACGTACCGTGATATGAGCAAAGTTTCATACTTAAACGATTCAGGACCTAGTAGGAGATGCACAGTTTGGAAATGTACGCGTCCATTTTGTAGGATATTTACGGGGGGTTGGTTCTACTGGCACCGTTTTAGTAGGCATATTATGATCAGCAGTCAACAGGGTTACCGCGTTCATGTGATACATTGCTCTCTAGGGGTTGATTTCAGGTGGGAGTGATTATATTTTAGTTTGTCCGCGTGGAAAATCAGAGCGATACTGCATTTTTTAATCGGCGGTTGGTCAACCCTGTCGGACGATATCGGACCGTAGGATTGACCAGGCCAGCATTACCTACTAAACCCTGGTTAGGCCTGCACATAGATGTACTTTGCGATGGCGCCCTCATACCTCTGCGTGTGTGTATATGTACACTTGCATGTATATGCCTGCACGCGGGTCTGAATCATATATCTAAATCTTGACAGCGCTTCGCTAGTCCCCATACCTCATGCACACAGTACACACGCACACAAGTCACCCACGTGCGGCGGCAGTGTTGGTTTTTGGCGAGGGCGTCAAGTCAACATAGGCCGTTCACCCTTCCGGTCCTGGGGCTCGAAATGGATCCAGAATGTGTTTGTGCGCGCGATGGACAAGCCAGCAACCCGCCATTCGAGGCAAGCGTGCCGTGTCGGTTGGCATGGACGGGTGCCAGGAGGGTTGAGGGGTGCCTACAGATTTATGACCTTCTCCTCAATACAAATAAGGTATCGCGCGGGCTGCGGGAATAATGATGCATATCGAGGGCACAGCAAGTAGACAGCGTGCCCTACTAGCGAAAAGAGGCTACGCAAAGGTGGTTGCTTGCTTCCGGCCCGTTGTGCAAGAGTTCGGTATACTTCTTGACCGCATACATTCGTCGGAGCATCGACGAAGGCACGCGCGCGTCCCGTCGTTAACGAACAAATATTACTGTCAGAGGGATTAGTTAAGTTGAAGCTTCGCAGAACTTCTCAACACACCTTGCCAGGATAACCTGATCTCTGCTGAAAATGAGCCGTTGGTTGCATGGGGCAGATGCTGGGACAGACGGTGTGTGCGCTTTCACATCCAATCTCCCTGCCTCAGACTTGCCACTGAAACACGATTGGTGGGAGTGAGAGCGATGCTGTGCAGTTCTCTCTACCATAAGCTGACTTGCGCTCCGGTCACTCTTCTCAGAGGAGACAGGCGTCCTCGGGCCAGACAGGCCAACTGTGATCTGTAGTCGCTGAACAGGGAGGAAGCCTTAGTACGGGGTGATCAGTTGATGATGGAACCAACATGCGTCACCACATTCATTAAGTGGCCGATTCGGTCTCCGATAATTTCTATTCCTTCTTGCCCTACTGATGGAAGTCGGGATGAATAAACAAAAGCGGGTTCTATCAAGAGTAGTTAGATTCTCAAGGCAACTTAGTCGTAGATGGGCAGGAAATTGTCGCTCACGGCATCATCATTGGCCAACGGCTATTCCAATCACAGAGCACGGCCCACAGCCGTCCGGTCGTCCACAGTCCCCGCTAAGCGTTTACTGTTGCGTAAGACGATTCGTTAACCGTATGGTTTCTTGTAGTTTCCGGGTGTCAAAGCGTAAATTCCCATCCACCTGCACGACACTATTTTAGTTTCTAGGATTGTGCCGAGCGGTGGTGGGAGTAAATTTTATTTTTTGGCAGACGTCATTCGTTGTGTCGTGATACCACTTCGGGTTGTGACCCTTTCATAGTTAATTGGTTTGGCAGATAGGGGCCCCGTCGCTGCAGGATCCGTGCCTGCCTTGTAGCGGTCAGTGGTCACCTTCGGTCCGCCCATCACACCTGTCAATCATTCCTTGTGTGCGCGTGTGACCCAGCCTTCGGCTCACCAACACCGTGACGCCGATCGATATTTTTGTCCCCGTCACTAGGCCGCGGCCGGACAAATCTCAGGCGCATGCACTTCGCACCAACAACCTAAGATGACTGGTACACGGACGGCGATAGCACTCGCAGCCTCTGCCTGTTGAGCCGCGTGTACGCTCTTTAGCCTCAGCAAAGATTGTCCAATAATTTCCCGACCTTTGATTAGGGAAACCTCGGGTTTTCGGCCCGATAACACTTCGACAACTCCGTCAGACCCGAGAGCCTGCCTATTTGAAGTTAGTCTGGCAGCGGTATAGGGGAGGACCCAACTTAACTGTCAGTAGAATGTGGATCGTGTCATATGGGGTTTTATCTTAGCGTACATTTGCAGGCTGCTGAAGAAACTACACTGCCAACAACGATTACTTCCAACGACCTCACACCTTAACTCAAAATCCGTTGTTTTGTGAAATTTGCTTTTTATTTATTGTTTAATTACTACTCTCATCTCCGTTGTCATACAATAGCGTAGGATAAGGCTTTCGGCATAAACTCGGGCAATTTTTGCATCTTCTTTAATTTTGTCAGCTTACTGTCTAGCGTGCTGTCCCACCCATAAAACTCAATTTACCATAAATCACCTATGGCACGATCCACAGTCTACTGACAACTAAGTGGGGTCCTTCTCTGTATCGTTGCCGTTAGTCTTTGTTAAAAATCGGTCCACTGTTCGTCATCCATGTTAAACGATAGACGCCGTCCCTCCCGAATCCCTCTTGTCTGGGCGGCACTTTAGGATTCGTAGATTGGAGGGTCACCAACTGTATAGAAGACAAATGTGGTTTTAGAGGCGGAGGATCTGGCTGTAGGGCAGCTGCCTCTTTTCATGGCTTTAATATAAATTGTTCAAATCCGGTTCGGATTTTACGAAACAGTGTCATGCCTCTCACAGTAGTCAGATGCTCAGTTATTCACTTCGCTGGCCTTTTGAACTTAGCCTTCTCAGTGGAACAGAATGGTAGTGGGAAGAGAGGTAGTTAGGTCGTTGCGGTGCAGTTCTTTCTCAACCAAGCTCCTTCCTCCCTCCCTAATTTTCGACTTTTCCTCCCCCTGCCCAGGTGACTACCACTCACATCTGCCAGTTTTCGCCTGCAGCAGCGACCTCGTCTGGGCTGGAGAGGCGCCCACCCCGAGGTTGGCTCACGGCAGCTTCCTCATCTGCTTGGAGTCACTGTACGAACGCATGACTGGCCATCGTCTGGAATACACCTCCCTCATTGGCAAGCCAAGTCCCGTCACTTACACCTTCGCCCTCTCCCAGCTGAACGCGATCGCAGCAAAGGATTTTGCCGCTACTCAACCACTGAGGCGGATCTACTGTATTGGGTAAGAACCTCCTTCCGATCCAGACAGTTTTTTTTTAACAGAATTACGTAAAGCGGCGCATGCAGATCAGACCTGACCACAGGATTGAATATGAATGTTTTGCCGTGCACTGCTCAGTTCTCGAGCCTTCTCAGGCAAATGAGCCAGAAATGGCCAATCCAGTCCTTCTAGTCTCCTTCCTTTCATCCGACCCAGTGTAAGGCTTATGTGCGGCCAACGCTCAAACCACTTCAGCTAGAATGCTCCTACTGGGAAGGTATACTGCCAAAGACAAGGAAGACTATGGTAGACATTTCTGTCATGTCTGCCGTCACTAGTCGATTGTGCTGCAATCAGTGGTCCGAAAGACGTGCGATGTGAACCCAAGTAGATTGGCAATCGAGCACTAAAGTCACACGCTCTATCAGTTGAGCCACGCGCCCACATCATATCAGCTGACACCAAGAGTACCATCCACGGATGGTCATACCGATGGGTTATCAACGCTACTTCGCCAATCTGCATATGTAAAAAGGAGACCGTATCGACGCCAAATATTGACGAGCGCTTCTGTACATCATGAACATCTCGGAAGTTAGCAGTCGCCTTCTCACGTCACCTAGAGTTAAGGTCGAGAACGGACCAAATGCAACCACCATGCGCCATATAATGAGACTTTAATACCCTCTGTCAATATGTGAAACGTCTGGAGTCTTTTCCCGGGTCCGTTGCAGTTGCGGGCAAGGCGCCTACATCGGAGACACTGGGGGTGACTGAACACGTAGCAGCGGTGAGGAGGAAGGATGCCTACTCCCGGATTGCGGCTCATTCGACGGCAGCCGACCAACGATGTCGTCATTCTCTCGCTAGGCGAGAACCACGTGAGTCGCGTCCATATTCAGCTCTAAGACTCTGTCTGAGCAGAGGAGTTGGTCACGCCAGGAGCACGCGAGAGAGCACCGCCTCCAGTGACGAAATCGGTGGAGCAGAGGGCCTTGAAACTATCAGACAAATAGCCATCACTGGCGATTTAATTGCTGCAATTAAGCGCTCGGATGCGGGCGGTCAAGTCATCATCGCACCAAGTAGGATGCGGGTGGTCGAGCCACTATCGCACCAAATACGACCATGTACGATGAATTCGAGAGGTGCCAATTTTGATAGGCGTTTTTGTGTAAAACAACTGTATCTGGTATATATAAGTACTTCTCTCGTTGTCCTTTCACAAACTTTATCTGTAACCGCCCCGGATGAGAATTTAGTGTGAATTCGAAGTGTCAAGTGGGCAAAATTATTGTCTCACTGGTCGAGTATCTCTTCTTCTACTGGGAACATTCAAAATGACGCGGATGACGTCCCACCTGTCTGGCGAGCACATGCTTTGGTGTAGCATGGTAAATCTAGTGGGGACTAGGTCGCGTGCGTGACAAGCGCAGACGGCCCCTCAACCGTCTCAGCTACTGCTCCCAATCGCGGCATCAGGTGGCTGACAGATTGGGGTTGGAAGGGCAGAGTGAGGTCGACATTGAAGAATCCATCCCCACGGGAAAATCAACCTAGTTCCCACTAATAATAAATCTGACGCGCTCGAATTTATTGCAATATGCCAAGAATTGTGGTTTAGAAGGTTCCCAACTTAGGAGATAACTGGGTCCTTCCCAGGACTGAGAGTCGGGCTGCAATGGCTCTTTCTCAATGTGCCCTCTACGGCCCTCTCACTAGGCAACCCCTGCCGCAGCGTGGTACAGTAGATAGGCTAATTCAGGAAATGTCAACCGAAATCCCGAAATGCGTTTTCGTTTCGAAAAGATTTGTGAAGTATGGTTGTAAAACTAATCTGCCTGCAGTATAATTCTATAATATTTCAGTTACTTCAGGATGCTGGCTTTCGAACAAACTTCCTTCCGGCTGCACACAAAAACTATACTCTATAAGAAATGACTACTTAGGTAGCATTCATTTTTCTCATTGATTTTCGATGCCCCTCAAAGTCCAATTATATTTCACGGAAAACATGCATAAAAATATTCATTGTTTTACTCATTCAGTAGAACATTACGTCTTCCAATTTTATACTCGACCGAAGGGTATAATTCGGTTTTCAAAAATTTTTTCAATTCCCGAATAATTTTGAACCCGCGCTGCCGTCACACTTGCATTCAGGGTTCGCAAACTACAAGCCATGTATTTTCCGCGTACGAAAACCACACATTTCTCTACGGTATTAAGAGGAGACCACATGGGATTCACAAAATTTGGCATTGGATTGAATCCATATTGTTAACTTTACAAGCCACATTGGCAAATGCAGAGACATGACGTTTTATGAACGGCCGTTTCACGGTATTTAAAAGTCCCACAATTAGAAACTTTTTGAAAACCGAATTATATCCCTCATTCGAGTATAAAAATTGAAAGAAGACGTAATTTTCTGCCGAGTGAGCGAAAAAATGTATATTTTTATGCGTGTTTTCCATGAAATATAACTGAATATCTGAGAGCATTGAAAATAAATGAGAAAAGTGTATGTCACGTAAGTAGTCCGTTTTTACAGAGCGTAGTTTTTGCATGCAGCCGGAAGGAAGTTCTTTCGAAAGCCAGCATCCTGAGGTAACTGAATTATTATAGAAGTATACTACAGACTGATTAGTTTTACAACCATACTTATTAATGTTTTCGAAACGGAAACTCATTTCGGAATTTCGGCCGACAGTTCATGAGTTAACCCACCTACTGTGCATTCACTGGGGGCAAGGCCGCGTGCGGCACGCGTAGACGGGCTGTTTAGCTCCCCCAGACGCCGCACTTGCATGCACCTCCGGTCGTATTAACATTGTCCTGCCATTGGAGCAAGGTTGGGTGACGAAGGGGAGAGTGCGGTAGATGCTGCGCTAATCTGTCACGCACAAGCCACTGGCCCTGCACCCGCTCTGTGGGTCACTCAGTGGCCGTCACCGCTTACGACAGTAGAACTGATGCGTATTTAAAAGAGGCTCGTCAAAGAAATAATCAAACCGTACTCGGGGACTTCCAAGTTGGCCACACAGCAACCCGTTGCCCAGTAAAATGAATAAGGGAGAGATGGGATTAGCACACTAAAGCGTTTGGGATTAGAGCGGTTGCCGGGCTGACATAGCGTCAAAATAGGTGTTGGAGCTGGTGGACACGGTTATGACTCGCCTTATTGAATCAGATGTCGGATAGATAATTGGCGAGACTGCCGATGGGTGGACATGTATTGGTGGTGATTGATTCAAGATGGACAAGGGGACAGTTAGCCATGAGTGCAGACCTACGGAGTGAGTGTCCAGGTCGACAGGGTGGTGTATACTGCCAGTGTTAAAATATCGCACCTTGGCAAATTCTCGTGTTGGACATGATGGCCGCTTCAGCTTCCTCCAAATGGACATGACCACTTTCAAGTGTGCGCATAAAGACGAGAGGGGGCGGGGGGGGGGGCAGGCTGGGCGGCAACCTATTTATGTTCGTCCGGTAAAAGTGCACCGGCGTCGAGCCGTATGGTCAGCCTACTGAAAGGAGCAATTAGCGCATGGGATGTGCGCTAATGCACGTTTGTGTCTGCTGACCTTTTGGCATGGGGTTCTTTGCCTGAGACAGTGCTGCGCACAAGGAGGATGCCGGCATGTGGGCGATGTGGATAACAAAGCAATTGGGCTACCTGACGACTGAGGAAGATCTCGTTGTAAAGGCCCCTTTTGGTGAGTCTGCCATCGTTTAGCCCTTATATGCTCATATCCGAAGACGATAGACTGTCTCCAGATGTCGCAGGCTAATCACAGTGCGTGAGTAATCTCATGAAATGTTGGCCAAAATTCTGGAATGCGTTTCCGATTAGGAAGGGTTATTTAAGTGGGGTTCTTATACTGATTAGCATGCAGGATAACCCTATAACATTTCGGACTCGCCAGGATGTCGACTTCTGAATGCACTTCGTTTTGACTTCCTGCAGAAACCACACTCGGTAAACAATGACTACTTGTGTAGCGTGCATTTTTCCTATTGACTTTCGATGGTCTTACAAATTCAAATATATTTTACAGAAAACATGTACAAAAATATGCTTTCTTTTGCTCATTTGAAGGGAAATCACATTGTCTTCATATTTTATGTCCGAAAAAGTGTGTATTTAGGTTTTAAAATGTTCCTAATTGTGAGTTTTTTAAGACCGTGTCATGTCCATGCATGCAAGACCGCACATGTCCGTTTACTAATGCTCCTCATGAAATGTACAACACAGTCCGGATCCATTGCAACATTTCATGAATTCGATGTGATGTCTTCTTAAAGGCACAGAGGAATAGATGAGTTTCCTTACGCGGAAAGCATGCACCTTGTAGACTGAAATTGCTAAACGCTGATGCAATGGCAGATCAGGCTGAAAACTATTCGGGAATTGGGAACCTTTTTTAAAACCTGAATATACACTTTCTTCGGGCATAAAATATGAAGACAATGTGATTTTCTACCAAATGAGCAAAATAAAGCATATTTTTTATGCATGTTCTGTATAAAATATATTTGAATTTGTAAGACCATCGAAAATCAATAGGAAAAATGCATTCTTTTTAAGTAGTCATCTTTTCCCCCGAGTACGGTTACTGTGTTCCTTTGCTTATTAAGCGCTAGTAAGTCCATTGTTCTGACAACTGAGCCGCGGGCTCGTTGTCCTGTCGGTTGTGATCAGGAATATTAACTATGGTGGGAGTGTGTTCGCCGATGACAAATGAGTTTGCGCCTCTGCGTAAACTTAACTTACTTTTCCCTCCTGCCTTGCAGTGATAATGTCGACGTGGACGTCTACGGTGCGAATCTGTATAATCTCTGCCTAAAGACGCTCACGAGCGAGGCCTTTCGAAAGGTCTCCAAACGCGTGCACTCCTTAATTCAGGAGGAGCACCCCAGCCTCACTTCTATGCCCTTCAGTGATACAGGGCCCGAGGAAGCCGGAAAAAGGTCCCTCTACGAGACGCTGATTGAGAGTTCCTCTTCCATGCCTACTATCCTTCAGCAGCTGTCAGAACACACCCACCTTGAAGAATCTGTCTGCTCCTTCTACTCCATCCTCGTGCTCACTGGAGTCTACCAGGTAGGAAAAATCCTCCACTCATCTCTCATTGCTGGCAGAGTTTAAACTACGCGGCACTTCTATTGCCACCGCTGCCCCTACCACTGCTGTTTTATTATTATCCATTCGCTTTAAAAGAGCTAACCCTCTCTGCTACTGCTTACTGCATCGCTGGTTGTTCAATTTTCATGAGATACCAGTAACTAAAAATAAAACGACCGCTTCTGAGCAGTTATCAGTCAGCCAAGCGGGACAAAATCAGTCCCTGAGAGGCTAACTGAGGCAGGAGGGCCCAACAGCTGAAGAGATAAGTCCCCACACTCTTTGTCACTAATCTGACGTGACTATAGCGCACAGGATAATGACTGCGACTGCCCATACTGCTAACTACATACACGACTGCCAAGTAAGCTTTGACTTATGCAGAGAACGTTATGGTTACCCTTGTGTGGCTTCCTTAAAATACTGCCCGAGGAGGGAGTCAGAGGGTGATAGTGTATCGACTCTAGCATTGCCTGCCTTTCGGTCCACGCGACTGTTAATTCTGCTAGGTTTCGCTCTCACCGAGTCCCTGTCTTGGTTTGTTTTGAAATCCCTCCCCCCTGTTACCCCCTGTTTCTTTATCGAGTCATTTCCATGGTGCACCTGGATCGATATTGCTTGAAGGGTCCTGGCAGGCCTTAGGAGACGTCCATGCCCCTGCCACATCACCGACGCGTAACGGACACCCGTCCTGTCAGTCTGCCTCTCCAGTTGTGTGTGCGGGGCTGTGCGCGTGGAGGACGGGCAGTAATTGGACACTGGAGTTCATATACCAGGAGACACACGGGGAAGGCTGGGGGAGACCCACTGATGAGCCGAACCCCTCGCAGCTGCGCCAGGCAGCGGCAGAATATCGGCGAAAAACGCGTGTCTGGGCTTTTAATTAGTACCTGTATTGTCAATGCGGTGAATCATTACACAAAAGTTACTGAAAATGTTTAGCTAACGTTGCCTGAGAACGATTCCGCCGGCAGATTACATTGATTTGATATTGGGTGAGACGAGCATCACTCGTTGCAACAACATCAGGAGGCTAGCTCAGACCATTCAGACAAGGCAACTGAGTTGGTTTTGGCATTGTCGTTAACGCCCACCGCATGAGATCAGTGCTGATGTCCTTGATCCGGCACCGATACCTAGTTGTGGGGGGGGGGGGATCGGAGGACGGCGAACCAGTGACCCGTGTAAAACTTGATGTGGCAGAGGCCGGCCCCCCCCCCCCTTTTCGGTTTTTGTTGCCGGAGAAGCGAGCCACGTCGAGCTCTGCACGTCAACTGACCGCAGATCATCATGCGCGGAGAGGTGCAATACTTAAGGTCATGCAGGCCGCCTAGTCGGTGCAGCTGAGCCCTATAATTTTGCCCACCAAAGGTCCCTCTGTTCCGTGGTCTGAAGTCTTTAGTAAATATTCCCTCAATGCCTTAGACCTTTGCAGAGCGGTTCGGCCTATTGACTTGCGGCGGTGTGCCAGTTCTAGCCTGAAATCTACTCACTTCTGCCCTTCTGTAGGAGCATCAGAAAATGCGTGTCAAATGGCCCGACCTGCTGAAACCGGTCAAGGAAATTCATCCGAACCTGCCCCACTTGCCGGGTCTGCGTGTACCCAACTTCGTTGCCCGAGATATCGAGGAGGCTATACAGTACATCCTCTTTCTGGAGGGGCGCCTCGATGGGAATGTCCATGTGACGCGTGCCTGTCCCTACCTCGATGAGAGTGGTTGCTAGCACTAAGGGAACAAGGAGCCAGTCCTCTCCTGTCCTCGCCTTCTCCTCCCCCCTCCCCGGGGGCGCCAACAGCCAATGACAGTAATCTCCATACGATGACGAAGACTATGCTTCCACGGAACACCTTCCCTACAAACTTCCTTTTTGATGCTGGCCGTCTCCCTTGTGTTTAATTTACCTTTTGTATGTATGCGTGTGTTTTCGTGTGCTTGTACGAGGCAAAGACTGCTAGCTGGTACGCTTTTCGATTATTTGACATTGTCATTTTCTTTTAACTCGACTAAATTATTTGACTTCAATTTCAGTTTGTGGGTGAAGGAAAATAAATGAACTTACTGCCTTTTCTCTGCTCGCTTTCATCAGTCTGTTCTGGACAAAAAGTGGGCATTTCCGCTTAGCCTTGAGACTGAGACTGATGGGACACGCCATAATAGCAAAATGAGCTCTGAACGAGCTCGCGTTTCACGAGGTACGCGAGCTCTATTGGATCTTTGATGTGGTCATTGATTCGAGCTCGCTAAAACGAGCCCGAAACGAGCTCCGGAGGAAGGACTTGCGAGCTCGTTCCGAGCATGACCCTAGCTCCATCGCCTGCTCAACCAGGGGTCCCCCTCCCTTCTACTGCCCCATCGCCTTCCATTTCCCCCAATATGACCAATTAAAGTAATCAAGGGAACACATGTCAAGATAAAACTACTATATTCGAAAAAAAAATTAATCACGTCTGGTGATTGTTTGAATGAAGTAAAGCCTTAAGGCTGTTGGTCTCCATTTTGAGCATTTGGATCGACGGGGGGAATAGGCAGCCCTCCGAATTACAGGTGGCTATGTGCTGAATTCCAAGAAGGACCACGGTTAGGGTTGGGGCTAAGGTAATGTGTAGGGATAAAGTTAGGGCTAGGATAAGGAGAATAGGCAACGACTTGGAGTTTAGCGCAAGGTCACCCGTCATCCGAGGGCGGGAGAAAACCTGCTCCCTTGTCTTACTCTAAGAATCTACAGGCGATGGCATGGGTGCCAGTGGTCCTTGTCATGGCAGTCGAGACTGGTCGCATTTGAGTGCAGAGCGCTGATCTATTTCGATGAGCGAACGGAAGTATGAACTTCCGTTTTGCCTCGATGCTGGGGAGTTTATAGCTCGCGCAGGAGATCGTATGACGACTTACAGGCAAGAATTCGGGGTCTCTTTTAGCCCCAAGGGACGAGAGCACATCGCTTGAGGCCTAATGAACCGAGTTCCAACCTTTGATGCGACCTAGCCCTGGCTGATGAAGGCAAATGGGCGAAAAATGGCCCTTCAAACATCCCTGTATTTGCCAGTAGAACCCCCCCTCCAATCAGGGCTTACTCTGTTATGACACGAACTGTCTTTACGGCGGCCAGAGCGAACCACAACAATGACGGTGCAGGCCATTAATCATGATGGCCACGAGTCCCGCCGCTCGAGGGCCCACGGCGCGCGGACAGGCTGTTTTCTAGGCCCTAACAACTGACTGCGGCGACGACATTCACTACAGCGGTCGCGCATTCGCTACAGCAACGATGACATTGGCCAAACAGAGGTTTAGCAAGAGCCCCGTCAATGTCAGCCGAACACAGTCTCGTGTGCAATTCTAACGTACTAAGCCATCCGGCCCTCTGGCTAGGTGAGTTCGCTCTCAACCCCGGTCAGACTGTGTATTAACCCCTTCGAACAGATGCGAATCAGGGCAATGACGATGGTCAACGGTATTAAGGATTTATCGTGCTAGGTTAGGTTGGAAGAACTTGATTTATTTCCCCTATCATACAGACAGTTAAGGCGTAGTCAGCTTTGGGTATTTCGGATTATCCTTTACCATGGGTGCTCGCTAAGGCTGGAGGACTTCTTTGAATTTGCATGCACAACTAGCCTTCGCAGTCATCCGCACAATATCAGAAGCGAACTCACGCGACTGGACCTCGGAAAATGTTTCTTCAGCCAACGAGTAGTCGCACCATATGCCTCGCTACCAAGAGAGATGGTGAAAGTCTACACAATTTGTAGTCTTAGAAGGCTTAATTGTTTAATTTTTGGTAAAATGTGATTACTCGCAGACAGCCTTGTAAGATGCTCCGTGGTCTACTCTCTTCCCCACAGTGATTCACATTCAAAAGCAACAATGGCCTTTAATTGTCCTACATTTTGACTCATACGCATTCAAAATGTTAGTAATTTAATACTGGCTGTAAATATGCAGAATTTACTGCACACTAACAGGGTCATCAAGGGCACTGCCTGTAACCTTTCAAATATATACATATATAATCGGCCTTTTTCTACATTCCCGACTATGTACGTCCCTACCCCGTCATATACAGAGATACTCTGTCTTGACACCGGATCCAAGGGGAGGGAGGAGGAAGCGTGCGGTAGATACAGCGCAAATCCACTATCACTTTGAATTAACTCGCGCGCGCAATTAACGGTCTCCGTACAAACTCTGCTGTGGAGCACACGGTGGACATAGTCAGCAAAGACGGTCGAGATTTCCTATGTTCAGAACTTGTTTCAAGCACTTTCCTCCGAAAAGCCAGTCATGCTTCCGCCAGCAAAATCCCTCGGTTAATTATCTCACAGTTACAGGGGGGAGTGCTGGACTACCACTGCCTGTGAAGCATCCCTTGATTGAAGTACGGCGACTCAAACGAGGTCGGTGTTTCTACACTTGATCGGGCGCCGTTGCTCACATGGAGGCGTCGAAGTGGTGACCAACTCCAAATCTGGTTCGCACAGTTCGTCAACTCGTGAAAGTAGTGCTTGGACCTTCTGTACTCGGTTTTCGTCGGTGGAGGAGAGAATTGGTCGAGCTCTCAAGATCCTCTGACACTACGTATGAAGCGGTACAACTAGTGAAATCATTAAGGCCGGCTACATCAGACATGATCACAACTGTATCAAATTCAAACAAGTATAGGAAAGCAATAAGTTAGGGACGTCGAAGGCTGCTGCCCGAGTCTCACCATACATTTGCGGTCTGTACGGCCAGAATATGACCGCTTTGTACATCTCCACAAAGACGCACTGTGCCAAACCGACCAGTCGACCGAGGCCTGCCGGAAGGGATTTCAGCCAGAGCTTGGTTATAAACGAAGGTAGACGAGGTATTATTTACTATGGTAGGGAGCGCTCACCGATCGTTCATATGGAACTCACTCGTTCTGTTGTGCCTTAAGGGCTCGAGCGCAACCAGCAGCCGCACAGCGGCGCATGATATATAGGCAGAAAGGTATTACCGACAAAGACAAGGGAGACTGGAATGGCCATTTCTGGCTTATTAGCCGTCGTCAGCCAGAAATACCCAAGCCCGAAGTGTGGAACACCCGAGCCTGGAACTCGCGACCTGTTGGTTTTGAAGTCCACGCCTCTACCCACTGGGCCACGAGCCCGTTGCCCTGTCGGTTTCAGATCGGGAATATACAATGCTAGGGGGCGCTCACCGATCGTTCATACGGAACTCACTCGTTCCGTTGTGCCACACTTCGGGCTTGGGTATGGCTGACTGACGACGACTAATAAGCCAGAAATGGCCATTCCAGTCTCCCTTGTCTTTGTCGGTAATACCTTTCTGCCTGTATTCTTTACTGTTTACACGCACTGCCTGACACTACAGTAGGACTGTCGTGAACGACAGCGTCCACCATATACCCCACGGGCCGGATTCAACATCGGCGACTCGGGTGTGCGGCAGACCTGTGCAACGCCTATCACACACACTCTCTCTCTCTCTCATTCCTCATCCATCCTGCTTCAGGGCCAGTATGACACCAGGACGACAGGACTGGTGTGGAGGCATTGGCTGACAGGGTTAAATGGCCGCTGGAGATCGTCACGCGTGGAGGTCGGCTGTATCATGCATGATCACAACTTTACTAAGTACAATCTTTAAGTTAGCAAAGTAATTCCCCTAAACGCGTCCATGGGCAAAGCCTCCGGAAGAGATAAGAAACACAGTGGACAAAACTGGCGAATTTCAACGCCCTGGATATTTATTTTCGACCAACGGACATCTAAGCAGCTCTGCGCACCGAAACAGACGACAGAGGATCGCTGAAATTCTGGCAAGCTTTATCATTTATTGGTAGCCTGGCCGAAAAAGCTCTTCGTTTTGTGACCCCCGGTGATTGTCTGTTCACGAGACCGGTGACCCCCCACACCACGAGCCGAAATGTTGCAAATAATCTAAAAGGCCTTTTGCAGTGCCCGCAAAGCGAGCTTCTAAGGCCTGCAGTGTGTTGGTTGCCGACTCGCCTATCTCCTACGTGGGTGTGTCGAGGACGCAGGTGTGAAGTAGTATGTGCGCAGTTTTGACAGCGCACGCTAGAGGTGCTGGATGGCGGTTGCAAGAACAGGCGTGACAGAGCACGCCAGGACAATTGAGGACATAGGTTCTTTGAAATGGACTGAGTGGCATTTGTGTTTGACTCGTTGAGGGCGTCTAAATTCTAGACATAGCGGTCTCACGACACGAGAGAGAGAGACTCGAGTGCTGCACATGTGAGATACAGTAGGTGGGCTAATTCAGGAAATGTCAACTGAAATTCCGAAAAGCGTTTTCGTTTCGGAAAGAGTAATTAAGTAGCGTTGCATAACGAATCAGCCTGCAACATAATTCTATAATATTTCAGTTACCTCAGGATGACGGCTTTAGAATGAGCTTTCTTCCGGCTGCATATAAATACTCCGTAAAAAAGGACTACTTAAGCAGCATACATTGATTTCAGCATACACTGATTTTCAACGCCCCTAAAAGTACACTTATATTTCATAGAAAACATGCACAAAATATACATTCTTCTGCTCATTCGATAGAAAATGGCATCTTTTCCTAATTTTGTACTCAAAGGAAGGGTACAATTCGGTTTTAAAAAGTTTCTAATCGTGAGATTTTTTAATACCGTGAAATGGCCATTCATAAAACATCCTGTCTCGGCATTTACCGATGTGGCTTGTAAAGTTAACAATATGGCTGAAAATCACT